AGGTGGCTGTCCAGCGTCTTCTTAAAAATCTCTAGTGATGGAGCACCCACAACTTCTGAAAGCAAGTTATTCCACTGGCTAATTGTCCTCAGTTACCTATCTTACCTAGAATTCCAGTTATTGTTAGCTAATCTAGGGTTGGTAGTTCTAGTTCACCTGCTTCAAGAAGAAAATGTTCTTTCATAGGAATATCCTTGCAAGTTTCTTAGTTTTTGTCTGTCATAATTCATGCTTTTTTAATGTGCCTTGGTGTACAGTCATCCTGGCCATATGACCACAGAAGTGTGTTTGGGCAACACTGGCTCCCTCGGATAAGAAATGGAGATGACGCCTTCCCCTAGAGTAGGGGGAGCTCTTTCACCCCTCTGCTGCGGCTCCCTGTCACTCAAAATATGCATCACAACCACCAATGTGCGACACCCACCGGCACACAATTTATTGAGCTTTTCAACCCCTGGTAGGGCAACCATGGATAAATCCAAGAAAAAGAAGTATGTCATGTGTCATTCCCAAACCAGCAAAGTTATTTATTGGAATGAAGATTCAGGGAGAATTACACTAATACATTATTTAAGGTTTCATCCATATTTCAGTATGAAAATTTTGATAATCCTGATAATTCCATGGAGCAAATAGAGAAAGGGGAAAAAAAGAATGAATGGATGAATTTAAAACAAGAATTTCCAAACTGAAATTCTAGGAACACTCATTGTTATTGAAATTCAAGATTCTCTCTGATGGCTTCATCTTGAAACCTCAGGAATATACTTTGGATAGATGTGGATGTTCAGAGAGTTTTAGTTTTCAGGGCCTCCATACAAGACCATCCATTGCTTGGGTGACAATGACACCACTGTGGCAGCTAAAATGGGGTGATTGAAAGCCTCGCTTCTTTTTAACACATGTTGCATGCATAACACGTATGTAAAAAGAAGCAGTGCTTCTGCCATCTGGTTATAGTTTGATGTCATTGATCCCCTTGTCCTGTCTCCCAAGACTCTAAATCAGGGGTCAGCAACCTGGGGCTCTGGAGCCGCATGTGGCTCTTTCACCCCTCTGCTGCGGCTCCCTGTCACTCAAAATATGCGTCACAACCGCCAATGTGCAATACCCGCCGGCACACGATTTATTGAGCTTTTCAACCCCTGGTAGGGCAACCATGGATAAATCCAAGAAAATAAAAGTTTCAGAAGAAAACAGAACATTTAATTTAACTACATACAGTATGCTAGTTTTGTGGCCACTCAAGAAATAGTCAGGCATAGGAAGGATTTTGTGACTCCCGGTGTTTTCTTTTCTATGGGAAACAGGTCCAAATGGCTCTTTGAGTGTTTAAGGTTGCAGACCCCTGCCCTAGAGTCAGGCACAAGTGCAGAGGGGAAACTTTTACCTTTACCTTAATTCATGGTGTTACATATCACCTATAAAGCCATGCATGGTTTAGGGTCTCAATACCTGTGAGACCATCTGCTTATCCAATCAGAATGAAGACAGAATACCTGCTCCCTGGGAGACTTTGCTCCTCTGAAGAGCTTGCTATCTAAAGTAGAAGGGCTCCAAAGTTCAGGTTCCTCTGAAGATTTGTAAAAAATGTAATGTTTTTTGGAACACCTTTGGAAATGGAATTGTGGTAAAAATCATTGATGCCAGATGGATAGACAGTTGATGTCGTCATTGGTTTATTTTGTCTTAATCTTCTTATTTTATTGTTGTACACCAACAGTTCAAAGAGTGCACCAATAGCAGAACCTCATTGGGATGAAGGGATATAGGAATTCTATAAATAAGTAAATATCTTATTTCTAGCACAAGTTGGACTTGTACTTGACACTGGTGTTGTTGTTAGAAGTCATCTGTACATCCTTAGATATCTCTACTTCATTATATGGTTGGTGGAGAGTTCTTATGCATGATGACAAGGAAGGAAGGAAGGAAGGAAGGAAGGAAGGAAGGAAGGAAGGAAGGAAGGAAGGAAGGAAAATATAAAGGAGCAGGCCCACTGGAACCACCTTTCTTACCATCAGTTACAGAGAAAATACTTAATCCTCCAATCCTTGCCCTTTTGTGCACTCTGACTACAGTTCTCTAGATGCTTACAGGACCTATTTAATGTGTCTATTTAGTGCACATCAAACAACCTATAATCTATACCTAGAGCCTTGGTGGCGCAGCAGACTAAAGTGCTGTTAAATAGCACCAGCTGCCTGCAATTACTGCAAGTTCAAATCTCACCAGGCTCAAGGTTGACTCAGCCTTCCAGCCTTTCGAGGTAGGTAAAATGAGGACCTGGATTGTGGGGGCAATAAGCTGACTTATTGGGGGGTGGGTGGGTGGGCTGAAAGCCCTACTAAGCAGGTATATACAAAAGTATGAAGGCCATTGCTTAACGCATTGTAAGCCGCCCTGAGTCTCCAGAGAAGGGCAGCATATAAATCGAACCAATCAATCAATCAATCACTCAATCAATCAATAAATAAATAACCCATCACTACAAGAGAAGCTACTGGGTGAAATAAATTTTTCTATCTTGCTTTAAATCAGGATATTATAATTGCTTTAAATCAATCTATTGTCACTCAGCATATTTTTTTTTCATAAAGGATCACTATTTCATGTACGTGTGATGCATTCTCATATTTGACCTGCATATTGCACACTGGAAAAACAAAGAGAATGGTGGGATTTGCAAAGATAAATTTGCATTATTCTCTGAGGGACTTTCAAATATGTAACAGGCAAGTCTACAGATCAATTATGTGTATTTAGCTGTATATCAACATGAGAGTATTTAATGTTCATGACTTTAATAACTCAGGCTTAAAGTGTGCCCTGTATAGTCCATATCAATCTTGGGTTTCAAAATGCTTTGAACATTTTGTTCTGATTGGCTATCCTGATTACTTTGTATACTTTAAAATCAGGAACATGGGGTTTATATAGTCAAAGATTGCCTTGAGAACCTAATATATCTATCTAAATCTGTCCTGGGAGGCACAGTTTATTTAATATGCTAAAATGTTTATAAAATGAACTATAAGCTGTAAAATACAACACCTGTTCATCTTTCCAGGAGTTCTGTAATGGATAATAAAATGACACACATATTTGTGTATAACATACTGTTGGTAAAAAAAAAAAAAAAAAGACATGCACTGTGAATGAGATGCACTTCACCTCGTGAATGAGATATATTTCACCCTATGAATGAGATGTATTTCAGTCCACTTGGGAACCAAAGCAGCATAGTCAAAATAGGAGTAGGGAGCTAAGAGGAGCTAATGTAGTTTGCATGTTTACCAAAAAATAAAACACACTTTCTTCAAATACAATTTATCAGCAAGTCTAAGGGATGCATATCTGCACAGGGTTTAAGCAACAGACCATTACCATGTTTCCCTGAAAATAAGATTCTGTCTTATAATTTTTTAAAACCCTGAAATAAGTGCTTGGCCTTATTGCCATGCACTCAAAAGCCTGATTGGACTTATTATCAGCGGATGTCTAATTTTGGGGGAAACAGGGTAGATATTAGTTGGTAAATTCTTTCTTTTTATTTCATTTCTGCAACCATCATCATTTGCACCCACTCCTTATTATTAGTCAGGTTGGAGTAGCTGTGCTGTACATAGAAACACTCGGAAGTTGGGGGCGGAGGAGAGAGTTCTAAGAAGGCATCCCAGAGTAGGAAGGAAATCACCTTCCTGAGTAGAATAAGCTTTTCACTTGTCTGCATGGATTCTAGTCTTACTAGATGCTAGAGCATTCATGGATCATGTTTTCTGAACAATTGGAAGATTTTAAAAAGAGAGAGCAAGGACACAGCTATCTATAAAATCTATATTTCTGAACATGCATAGAGATAAATGAAAGTCAAGTATTGAAGCAGTTCTCCCTTTTCTGCTCACTTCTTCTTGTCCCGAATCTTCCCTCAAAAAAGTCCATGATCCTGGCATACACCCATCTGCTATCCTCCAGCCACAGATTTTACCCCGTCACAATGTCTTTTGCCTATACAAGCCAGGCAAATGCTGAAGCTTTCCAAAGTAGGCTTCATTCTTAGCATGCTAGTGATACTCCTTGTCATCCTGGAAGCATTGTCAGCTTGGTGGAGTGTGATCTGATGTTGCCTGCAAAATACTTCATTCTATAGTTGGGTGGATCTCCATTCATGTTCTTGGTCTCCTAGGATTAATCAAAATAGATGTATATGACACAGTGGAAGTATAGATGCCGAGCACTGGAGATGTACAGCACTGACTACTTGTAGTTGCTGTGGGCTTCTTCTTCTGATTTCTCATTATCCAGCTCAAGTTCTGGAACATGGCAAATCTCAGGAAGGAAGCTCAATATGCATACAGTGAGAAGAAGTATAATATGCTGTCTATGCTGTGCACTACAAAGCAAGCAATAGAAGATGCCAAGCAGAGACATCAAAGGAACAACCCAGATGTACAAAAATGAAATATCAGAGTTTTGATAAATAGAATAGAGTAGGGTAGGGTAGGGTAGGGTAGGGTAGGGTAGAATAGAATAGAGTAGAGTAGAGTAGAGTAGAGTAGAGTAGAGTAGAGTAGAGTAGAGTAGAGTTGAGTTGAGTTGAGTTGAGTTGAGTTGAGTTGAATTGAATTCATTAGCCAAGTGTGATTGGACACACAAGGAATTTGTCTTTGGTGCATATGCTCTCAGTGTACATAAAAAGAAAAAAAAATACATTCATCAAGAATCATAAGGTACAATACTTAGTCATAGGTTACTAAATAAGCAATCAAATCATACTACAAAACAAAAAGAACAATATAAATCATAAAGATACAAGCAACAAGGTTATAGCCATAAGTGAAATAGAGAAGCGAAAGAGATGGATATTTAATAGGATGTGTGTTTTGCACACCAGGACACTTCATTGGATCAAAAGAAAAATTGTTTGTTTTTAAAATGTGCTTTAAAGATCATGTGATATGATTGTATTGCTTTTCTTCCTTTTTTTTCCTCAACTCCAGGAACTTTTTGACCAGTTATGATAAGGAAAGCATTTTCACCATGGACCACTTCCCCCTTTGGTATCGTCGAGCAGCTGAACATCCTCCAGGGAGCTTCATTTATAGCCTTTCCTTTGAGGAAGAAGCAGGTACCTACAATGAATTATTGTCCCTTGAAACAGCTAATGCTTAGCCAGTCAGAAGACAGAGTTCAGTAGAAGCGAGAATATTTTCAGTCCTTGCTTCACCCAACCAATCAATGGTGGGGCCATTAATTTTCCATGAGTGCAGCTCACAACTGATTTGTGCTGATTGTTTTATAGCCAAAAGGGTGCCACCCCTGTTCAATAAGCAGCTTTCTGCAAATTCAAGAATATCTCAATGCTTGATGAGATATTCTCCAAAGCACCTGAGGGCAGGACAAGAAGCAATGGATGGAAACTAATCAAGGAGAGAAGCAACTTAGAACTAAGGAGAAATTTCCTGACAGTTAGAACAACTTGCCTCCAGAAGTTGTGAATGCTCCAACACTGGAAGTTTTTAAGAAGATGTTGGATAACCATTTGTCTGAAGTGGTGTAGGGTTTCCTGCCTAAGCAGAGGGTTGGACTAGAAGACCTCCAAGGTCCCTTCCAACTCTGTTATTCTATGTTCTAAGTCATTTTAGATATAAAAGATTCCTGACTGGAGCACTTGTGGGTTATCTCAAGTCTTCACCTTGTCTGAAGAGGAATGATGAAGAGCCAGTCTATCTTCAGTCCACCATTTTTCCCCAGAAGTCCAGGGAGTGCTTAAACTGCAACTGCGCATCACTACATCTCTCCTTTGCCACAGCAAAGGAGTACTGCATGTTTGCTTACAGCAGGGGTGGGCAAATATGGGCCCTTTATGACCTGTGGACTTCAACTCCCAGAATTCCTGAGCCAGCTTGGCTGTCTCAGGAATTCTGGGAGTTGAAGTCCACAGGTTGTAAAAGGGCCACATTTGCCCATCCCTGGCTTACAGTGAATAATGATGCACATGGAATCATTCTGTAAAGGAGCCAAGATTGGTCCAGCGCAAAAATACTCTAAGGATAATTTATGCCACATGCCTTCATTAATCACCCAGGCACAAGCACAGCTCCCTAGTCCCAGGAAAACCTCTCAAATAGATTCCCCATCTCAATATTAGCCAACATTTAAAAACTTAGCAGCTATGCTCAGGGGAGTCCGCCTGTTCTGATGCTCAAGGATTGCCTAGACAAGCCATTATCAGTTGGCTCAAGCACACTGTTGGGGGTGGAATGGTAACAGCAAGTTGCATCAAGATTTAGGACTATTAAATTAGGTTCTACCTAATTTATGTACAAGGGACATGGTGGCTCAGTGGCTAAGACGCTGAGCTTGTTGATCGAAAGGTCAGCAGTTCAGCGGTTCGAATCCCTAGTGCCACGTAACAAGGTGAGCTTCTGTTACTTGTCCCAGCTTCTGCCAACCTAGCAGTTCGAAAGCACGTAAAAAATGCAAGTAGAAAAATAGGGACCACCTTTGGTGGGAAGGTAACAGCATTTTGTATGGCTTTGGCATTTAGTCATGTTGGCCACATGACCACAGAGACGTCTTCGTCTCTGTGGCCACATGACCACAGAGGCTTTTCAGCTTTGAAATGGAGATGAACACTGCCCCCTAGAGTCAGGAACGACTAGCACATACTGTATGTGCGAGGGGAACCTTTACAGTTAGCAATGCTGACCAGAGGTTTGGATGCATATGCAGATAGAGAAGCACAGCTCAAAAGCATGTTACATCCAGTTGAATGAACATTCTCCTCTAAAACCTTTAGTTCTTTTAACCAGGAAATGGTGTTAATATTACTAGTTGACACCCATAGTCATGGAGTGACTAGAGTCGGGAACGACTAGCACATATCTGCGAGGGGAACCTTTACCTTTACCTTACCTTAGTCACTACCAATTAGTGACAAAGAGGTAGTCTTCTGTGTCTCTTTTCTGCTATCTAGTGGTTGCCCTAATCAGTATGAAGTGAAGCTTGAGGCTATGCCCTCCACAGCAGGTTTCTGTTTGCTATTCTTCCTCCACCTTCATGACACCCTAGGAATTAATTTGCTTCTTCTATGGTCTTGCAGCAGACCATGAACACATTTGGGTTTTTTAAGATTGAAGGTCTGGCGAGAGGGGATCCCATGCTTGCAGAGTAGACCCTAGGGCAGCAAACACTCATGTGTGACCACACCCAACAGGTATTTTAGAAATGGATTGAAGGAGGGATGGTGACCACTCCAGATTTTGTAAACAGGAACTGCTCACACCACTCTAACAATCTGTTGGGCTGTGTTTCCCTCAAGGTTGCATATGGAAGAAAACTTCCCCTTCTCCAATCTAAAGCTGTTAGTCAGTGTACTTTAATGCAGGATATATATTAAAAGATAGATCAATGGGGTGACTCTAGGAACTTTAGATTTTAGACTCTGGAATCTTGGAAAGCCTCCGGCTCATAAATGTTATCTTTCTGGAGACACTGGATATGGACACTGTTGATAAATAAGAAACTAAAACATAGTGAGGAGGAGAAAGTTTACAAAGTCTGGTTTGTAAATACAAATATATGGTGGTTAAAAATGAATCTAAAAGGGGTTTTTTTCTGCTCTCTTTTTCTGCACTCAAGCACAATGATGATGGTGCATAATGCGCTAACTGTGAATCTTTTTTTGGCGTTGTGGTGGGAAGAAGGGTGGGTGGAGAAGACAACAACAAGGAAGGCAAGATTGGGGAGCAAAGAAGATGAACTGGAAAATTAAAGCGCATGCAGGATTTGAATGAGAATACCTGAACTTTCTCTTGCTTTTTAGTTTCCTTTTCATTTAACTTCAGCAGCTATCAGTTCATTACTATTTCAACTAGTCAGACCAATACAGCTGGATTCTAAGACTCCTGAGATTGAAAGCTGAAAAACCTTAGACCTGGAATCAGTGGTGAAATGTAAAATTTGTTACTACCAGTTCTGTGGGCGTGGCTTGGTGGGGGGGGTAATGTGACTGGGTGGGTGTGGCCAACTTTTTTTTTTTTTTTTTTACTTTTAAAAGCATTTTTTCCTGCAACCTGGCGGAAGTGGTTGTAGAGAAAATGCTTTTAAAAGCCTCTGACAATCCCAGCTGAGCTGCACGATCATCAGAGGCTTTTTTTTTCCTTTTAAAAGCATTTTTTCCGCCGAAGAGGTTGTAGAAAAAATGCTTTTTAAAAGTTAAAAAAAAAAAAGCCTCTGATGATCGCGCGGCTCAGGTGGGCATTGGGGGGGGACAGGGATTTTAGCTACCGGTTCTTCAAACCACCTGCCACCATCGCTGCCGGATCGGGTGATCTGGTCCGAACCGGGAGCATTTCACCCCTGCCTAGAATCAAGATTTAGTGAAGTGCCTCTTCAAGATGGCTCCACAAAGCCACACTACTTTGCAAAGCTGCAGTAAACAGAAGTGACAAAACCAAGATTGATGATCTTGTTTCATACCGGACCTGACATATTCTGCTAGCTTGGAGTGCTTCCTGTCAAGTTTTATGCTGGCCAGTTGATTCTATTACGTCAGATTCCCTTAATATTTTCATTTGGCTGGTACCTTGAAAAATAAAAGTTACCAGTTCCATCAATTATTGTGGTTCTATTTTTCAGGAATAAGTGGAAACATTTTTCTTCTCTCTCCATCTTCCTGTTGTCCATAATATGGCAACTTGTGATTGTCCATAAATTGCATAACCTTTTGGCTGGTTATTTCCAACACCCACCCACCTCCTGTAAACACTATGTGCTAATGTTATAAACGCATCTAAAATTAATCTGCCAGCATCCTAATGTATTATTTTGGACAGGCATTTCAGGAAGAAACATTGCATAGTAATACCAGAATGCTGATGGGAAATGCCCTCATTTGAACACACCTTCATTCCCTTGAGATCTTGTCAATTTCATTTTCCTCAGATTCTAATAATAATGGAATTTATTTATTTGTATTTATTTTTATATCAAATTTAGAAACCACCCATCTCCATTACAGAGTGACTCTTCGCAGTGTACGAGTACAATACGAAAACATAAAAAACGAATTGCTCCATTGCTATACCAGGAAAGATTTATTTATTTATTTATTTATTTATTTATTTATTTATTTATTTATTTATTTATTTATTTATGTTATTTATATGCCGCCCTTCTCCCATAGGACTAAGGGCGGCTTACAAAAGCAAAACAAAAAATTACATAAACAATTGAAATCAGTTTAAAATTAAATTAAAATCAATTAAAAATTATTAAAATTATTTGAAGCCACCCCTACGGATTCAGCCCATTTGGTAAAAAAGCCACGTCTTCAATTCGCAGTGGAAGGAGAGGAGTTCCGGGGCCGTCCTGAGGCTGGTGGGCAGCCCATTCCAGAGGGTTGGCGCTCCCACAGAGAACGCTCTCCCCCTGGGGGCCGCCAGCCGACATAGTCTGGCTGACGGCACCCTGAGGAGGCCCGCTCTGTGTGAGCGCACTGGACGGTGGGAGGAAGGCAGGAGATGATCCTGCAGATACCCTGGGCCTAAGCCATGTAGGGCTTTATAGGTGAGCACCAGCAGCTTGAAACGATTTTGGATATATATGATCTTGGATCTCACCAAGGGTCTATCTTGACTCTCACAGAACATCCCACAATATCTGCTAGGATCCAGAGGGATGCCCTACAAGAAGTCATAGCATGGGAGTTGGGTGGCGCAGGTTGCACAGTCAGCTAGATATTTAGACTGGATTGGCATTTTTGTCTACTTACCAAGTTCTTCTCAAGGCCCTCGGATAGACAGATGTTGTTGTTGTTTAGTAGTGTTAAAGGTATTCTTGGAAGATGTAAGCTGTTCCAAATAAAGCTGCCCTTTGCCATTTTGATGGTTCGTTGCACAATCAGCCAGATGTTCAGACTCGATTTGGCATTTTTATCCATCTATTGAGTCCTTCCCAAAGATCTGGGGTAGGCAGATGTTGAAGTCTGATGGTGTTAAAGGAATTGTCGCGGGATGTGAGTTGTTCTGAGTAAATCTGTCTTTTTATTATCTTGCTGCATGGTTTTGAAGTTATTTGCTCATCCTCAAAATTGCATATCGAAGTAAATGAGCCCTAGAAAGG